TTAAGGGGGGGGGGGGAGAAAGAAAAGTAAAGATTCAATGTAAAGTCTATGACAGAGTGGTTATAGTGAAATTCAAAAACATGCTATATATAAAAGTTACAATCTGAATATAGGTATTGAAAGATATGTTACTAAATATAAAAATGCATACTTTTATATCATGATCAGAAATTTTGAATCTTTTCACACAAAAAAATCAACATTTTGAATGATTTTATTGTGTAATTTGAAATCCACACATATTGAAAAACAGGAGACAGAGTGTGTGAGTCATGCAAATAAAAACCCCTCAATTTCAAAAACATATATTTAGGGGTAAATAATTAAATAAAAGAAAATCAGTCACACAATGTCTTTGAATAGAGGACCTCACATGGCCCTGATCGGGTCTGACAAAATTAAGTAACATAGTTAAGCATCACCTAGGTTCATATCGAGTCACCACATCATCATACGCTGTCTCCTACCCGTCATAAAATCAAGAAAATATTTTATATCCAGAAATCTTTTTTTATCTAACCGGAATAGTAATTTCATTTAACTACAAATGAACATACATTAACACATCATAATCATCCAAAGTCATAGTTTACAATAGGGCTCACTCTTGATGTTAAACATTCTATCGATTTGGACAAATGTATAATGACATATATGCATCATCATAATTTTTTATGGTACCTTTTTCAGAATTCAAACCAAGTATGGCACTGACATCTAGAAGCAAGATTTGGGGGATCCCCACATAGGGGATCTCTTTGAAGATTCCAATCATAGACAAAAAGGACTCTCTTTGTTCCAGCTGGAGCCCCCATTATCAATCTTCCTTTACAGCATCCCAGATGTGTGCCAGGGCTTTCAACTTGCCTTCAGAGCTAAGGTCTGCCCTGATGCCCAATTATGTCATGCTCTCATCTTAGACGCCACCTTTTTTTTTAATGACCACATGGGTCTCTTTCATGGACCCTACCCTATTCAATTTAGCCTGAGACAAGTTGTGATCTCAGTCAATATAAGCCCCATCTGACCAACTATTTCTCCCTTAATCTAACGCTAGCTGCTATCCCAGATCACCTTTTTGGTCTTTACTATGCAGCTCCCAGCAGAGCAGCGCCTGTACTCGTAGTTTGTTGTGTGACAGGGAGTATGAGGTCAGAAGTCTAGATGGATACACCTGCATATGGTGTGGTAAACAAGAGATAATCCCCCATCTCACAGAAACATGCCTTGTTAACTGTTAGTAGAATTGTCTAAAAGTAACCTTGGACCTTACTCTGGGTTTCCTAGGCAACATATTTGGGACCAGGACTCTGCTTTCTCCCAGGAAGGGATCACAATCAAACTCAGCCTCCCACAAAGGAGTAGCTTTCTCCACCCTGTGATGAGGACAGCAGCTTCCTATGGGCCCCAAAGTCACCAGGTGCAGGGCAGATGACTTTTCCAGACAGCTCTAAACAACCTGCATCTAAAGTGGGACTTCCTCATGCCCAAGCAGCCCATTTCTCCCACTGACCAATTTCTCTCATGTCTGCCCTGTGAGAAAGAAAAGCAGCCACAACCACAGTGTTTGGCCCTGGTGTACTCTGCTGGGTGGAACCTCTCTTTTTTTCCCCAGGGAAGCTCATTCCTTAACCCTTATCATGGAAGTCCGGGAGGCTGTGTGACTTGGCAGAACATGCATATGTTTGGTACTCACTTATTCAATATTCACTGAGTTCCAGGAAGAAAATAAGCAAATAGACATAGAAATATGTGCTAGGTGGTGATAAGTGTTTGGGGGGGGCGGGGGAAGCAAGTAAGGGAATAGAGAATGCTGAGATGGGTGGGTTTGGGGGGGTTCTGTTTTTTATAGAATTTTTAGGCACAGTATCTTTAATTATGTGTCATTTCAACATAGACCCAGGTAGTGAGAGAGAGAGCATGAGGATAAGGGAGGCGTTTTCTAGACAGATAAAAAGTACAAAGTCTCTGAGGCAAGATCATGCCATGAAGAGCAGGTAAAAGGCCAACGTGGCTGGAGTTGGGTGGGAGAAGGGGAAAGCAGTAAGAAATTAAGTCAGAGAGGTACCAAAGAGGCGAGTCATGTAGGCCTTGGAGGGCCCTGTAAGGACTCTGGCTTTTGCTATGAGTGAGATAGAAAACCCTTCGATGTAAGCAGAAGAATAGCCTGTCTTAGATTTTAACAGGATTACTCTGACTACTGTACGGTATAGAACACAGACTGTTTGAGCAATAGTGAAAACAAAGGGAGACTATGGCAGTGATCCAGATGAGAAGTTATGGTGGCCTCAACTGGGGTTGTCCCATGGACGTGGTGAAAAGTGGACCAGATTCTGGAATACTTGAAGGTAGAACCAACAAGACTTGTGATGAATTGGATCTGAGGCATGCGAGTAAAAGAGGATCCAAGAATAACACCAAAGTTTGGCTGAGCAACTGGAAGAACGGAACTGCCATTTACTACTCTGATTCTATTTCTATAAAAGTCTCTGTGTGTGCGTGTACTGGTGTAAGCACAGAGAAAAGCATGAAAAATAAAAACAGTGGTTTATCTCAGGACAGTGGGATTTCACGTGATTTTCATTTTCTTCCTCATGGTTTTCTGCACTAAGTTTTTGTAATGTATACACTTCGTTTAACTTTTTAAAAGACATTTTTGTGGAAAAAACAACAATAACAAAGGAGGAATGAAAGAACTGGGCACGATGTAAAGAAAGAGGAATGGAAGGAAGGGACTGGGGAGATGTAGGAGGGCAAGTGGGGGTCCAAGAGGGACTCCAAAGGAGGACCTGAGAGATCTGGAAATGACGACGATAGAAAGAACTCTGGGGAACAGGAGGTACTGGGGTAGGGGGCTCAGGAAACTGGAGAGATCTGAAGATAGAGAGGAATTAGAGTAAAAATGCAGAGGAACACGAGCAGATAGCATGCCCAGTGAGAGCTGGACAACTCAGGAGTCAGTGGGGAAAAGCTAGCGAGGCTGGGGAAGGACCACCAGGAGTAACAGGAGGCTGAGGAGTTGGAGAGGAGCTGGGAAGAAATGAGAAATATTGGAAGGCTCTGGGACTGGACTCAAAGAGATGGACATGGGGACTCTACAGAGAGTAACAGAGATGACTGAGAACAATGTGGAGCACTTGGAGAGGACAGGAGCAGCACAGGCTTTGAGGCTGGCGGCCTCCCCTCCCCAGACCTATGGATGTTAACCCTCCGTACCTCCGTCTCCTCGCCTGTAAGTCAGAGGCGGTAACGCTGCCTGCCTCGCAGGGTTTCTATGTGCAGAGTGGTGCAATCCCCATTAATGACTCAGTGTATCCCTGGGCATCCAGGAAGCACTTAATAAACTTCAGGAACTGTTATGAGCAGCTCAATTCAGAGAGAAGGCGGCTCAGTAACGAAACTCATCTCCCACCCAAGAGTCTCATAAGAGTTACTTTTCCTGAGAAGGAGGATGTGGGAGGAAGGGGAGCACGTCCAACCTGCTCTGAAGCCTGGCCCAACGCTGAGCCGCCTTCACTGCCCAGCGTGAAAAACGAAAGGCCTGCGTCCAACGAGACTTCAGCCTGTGGGTTAAACAGTGGTAAACAGGCACTCAGCGGGGAAATGAGTGCCCTTTCTGCTTAGAATTGAAAGAAATACTTTTCTGCAATTAAGTAAGTAGTAACTATTATATTATTCATGAGCAAGGAGCAGCAAGAGAGACAGTATCAAGTTATATTTAACTTCGAGTCCGGTTTATGAATTTCTGTTTTTGACGTTCTGGTAACTGCAAGAAGAAACAGAATGGAGTCCAAATGTTCTCCATCTTCTCAAACTACCTCTTCACTCTAGTCAGAGTTTTAAGAGCATCACCTTACACTTTGATCAAAATGTAGGCTCTGGGGAAATTCTTTTTTCTCTCTCCTTGTTGTCAAGGGCTCTCACGTATGTGTGTGCTCACACACAAGTACCACTCCACCCCTCTACAATCTTTTGTGGAGTGAGAGGTAGTTAAAAGTATTAAAAGTGGCATATTCATAGTTATAAACTTTCTGGTAAATAAGCTCTCCTTTTTCAATACTGTAAAGCCTGAATCTTTTAAATGTAAAGCATTTATCACTTCTTTCTCACACACGTATTAAAATGATCTGTTTTTAGGGAGGTTTAAGAGAGAAATTGATTCTATAAGAAAAAGTAAAACTCAGTTACTAGGAGTAAAAAATGTTTAAAATACAAAAGCTTATTTTATGCCCTATTTGTATCTAGCTGTCTAAAACTGGATTACAGTATTGACTGCGTACGTAAATTTACTAAAAATTATTGAGTCTTATACTCAAAATGGGTGAATTTTTGCTATATAAAGTAAATCTCTATAATCTGTTTTTAGAGGTTAAAAAAAGTTATTCACCTTAGACCACTGATTTATCTCATCACCAATGAGCAGGTGAGTTGAAGATTTTTCACTTTGATTAATCTGAAACAACATAAATGGCATAGAAAACTGAATCTTCACAGACATAGACATAATTGTATGCATAAGTCTTTTGTTTAAAATGGATAAAAACCAAGATTTCTCAGTGTTTGAGAATTTTGGTTCTTTTTTAACAAAGAAAAATTAATTTGATACATGTTGCATTTAAACACTAAATTTAAAAACTGGAAAGAAAAAAACATTACCTTAGCATTTTTTAGCTTTTCTCTTACTTTGCTTCTCAACATTTCTGTTATGTTTTGACTTTCTTCTTCTGCATCTAAACCTATCAAGAAGCCAACATAGTATAGAGTTCATGACACTTTTTAAAATAACTAAACAGCAATAGCAGCAAAAGTACTTATGAAATAGCTAAATTGCATACACTTTTAAGGATCATGACAAATATGAAGACTGGGACATTGCCCCATAAGAGATTAGAACATCTACTAGATGTCCCTTCCCCCTTTTCCATCTGAAATAAATAAATTTATCCATAGTCAGGACTGAATTTTGTTTCCCCTACCCTGTGCATCCTCAGCTATTGGCTATAGTCCTTTTCTTTGTTGCTGGGCAAAAAATAAAAAAATAAAAATAACCACACTCAGAAAAGGAAACCTTTATCGTTTTCCTTTTGGGAAAAAAAATCCATAAGAAGAGTTATATTCTATATAGGACATACAAACAGAATGTATATTCTCTACAGAATATACAAATATCAAGGCCAGGTTACTTCAACTTGATGAAAGGAATATAAAAGGAAGAGATAAGTCTCTCGGTACCAATTAGTCAGTTTTGTAAAATTTGCTGAGCCCTAGCTCTGCCAGCTCTTAGAATGAAACAGTCTTGTGGGGTATAAAGACGACTCCAGCTGTTGTTTGCACTCCAAGCCATGTTATTTTCTGCTTGTCCGCCAGATGACCCACTGGATGGACTGAGAAAGACAGGGGTTGAGCAGTCCTAGTATAGTAGAAAGTGGAGGGCCTTTTGATCATTTTGGCTTGCATTTTTCTTTTTCTTCTGACTACTTAAAGGCTGCATAGAGGATGGTGGGAATAAAGGGTAAGTAAAAGCTAAATCACTATAGGTCATGACAATCTTCATTCTTAACTGCAATATATCTTGGTATAATTCAAAAACTACTAGTTGGTTTGTTTATATTCTATTCCCAGAACTTAGAATGGCAGATGGCATATAGTATGTGCTCAATAATGATGGATGAACCAGGGTTCAACCATTACTTATGTATTTTTCTTGAGATCTAGAGCTTCCTGAAGCAAGTTTTGCATCTATATATCTTTATGGTCTAACAACACAGTCTCAAACACTAGTAGATTCTCCATGTTTACAGAGAGAGAAAATAAAAGCTTTATAGACTTTATTTCCTTATGCCCATCTTGTGTTATCTAGGAAGTTTAGTTTCTGTTTCAACTCATCTCTTAATAAACTTGTGTTCCCAGCTGAAACTCTATGATAGAATTAGTCATTTACATATTTTAAAAATAAAAAACCAACAGCATCAGAGTTGTGGTATCAGAGTTGAGGACCTTTTTGGAGACGCTTGTCTACATTTTCTTCTACTGCAATGTTATCTATTTCTTCAGACATCTGCCAAAAAAAAAGGGGGGGGGGTGAAGGTTACCTAGCATCTTTTTGTTTCAGCATTGAACAGCTTTTCAAATTTCATCACCTCTTTGAAAGTCAACTCCTTTAAAATGCCAATTCATAGCTTTTGCCTGTTTTCTTAAATTTCAACTTTTTATCAGTTGATATGGTGAACTTTTCACTAAGAAATTGCTCTCTGTGATATCAAAAAGGACCTTTTTTAAAAAAAAATTTCATCCTCACCTGAGGACATGTTTATTGATTTAGAAAGGGGGAAAGAGAG